ACCCGTGTGGATCCCGGAGAATGGGGGAACGGTATGGATCCTATCGGGAATGGGGGAACTGCGTGGATCCCCCCGGGAATGAGGGAACCGTGTGGATCGCGGGGATGGGGGAATCGTCCGGGAATGGGGGAAATGTGTGGATCCCAGGGATCGGAGACCCGTGTGGGTCCGGGGAATGGGAGACCCTATGGATCCTATCGGGAATGGGGGACCCGTGTGAATCCCCCCGGGACTGGGGGACCCGCGTGGATCCCTGAGAATGGGGGAACCGTGTGGATCCTGGGGAATGGGGGACTGTATGGATCCTATCGGGGATGGGGGACCCGTGCGGATCCCTCCGGGAATGGGAGAACCGTGTGAATCCCCGGGAAATGGGGGACTGTATGGATCCTATCGGGGATGGGGGAACCGTGTGGATCCCCGGGTATGGGGGAACTGTATGGATCCCCCTGGGAATGAGGGAACCGTGTGGATCCGGGGAATGGGAGACCCTATGGATCCTATCGGGAATGGGGGACCCGTGTGTATCCCGGGGAATGGGGAGCCTGCAGGTGGGTGCTGGGCAGGGAATGGGGTGCCCTGTCCTCGGGGTGCGTGTCCTGCAGGGATGGGTTCTGTGTAGGGAATTGGGGTGTCCTTCCCTTGGGATGGATATCTTTTAGGGAATGGTGYATCCTTTAGGGAATGGGGTGTCCTAAAGGGAATGGGGATATTCTCCAGGKAATTGGGGYACCCTGYAGGGAATTAGGGTGCCCTTCCCTTGGGAYGTGGGTGCTGTGTAGGGAACGTGGRTGTTCTGACCTCAGGGTGGATGTTGTGCCAGGAATCGGGGTGCTCTGTCCTTGGGATGGGTGCTGGGTAAGGATTTGGGGTGTCCTTTTGGGAATTCGAGTATCCTGCAGGGAACTGGGATATTCTCCAGGGAATTGGGGTATTCTCCATGGAATTTGGGTACCCTGCAGGTAATGGGGTCCCCATTCTGGGAGAATCCCCCTGGGATC